TGAGTGCACGATGCAGAAGGCTGCTTACTATGAAAACCCAGGACTCTTTGGAGGCTATGGCTACAGCAAAGCCACCGACACATATGGCTACAGTGCCCCCCATCAGCCTTTTCCACCCCCTACTGCTGCCAACTCTCTGGACACTGAATACCCAGGTTCTGCCTGCTCCATCCAGAGCTCTGCACCTCTGCGAGCGCCAGCCCACAAGGCGGCTGAACTCAATGGCAGCTGCATGCGGCCTGGCACTGGGAACAGCCAGGGTGGCGGTAGCAGCCAGCCTCCTGGTCTGAACTCAGAGCAGCAGCCACCACAGCCCCCTCCTCCACCTCCAACCCTGCCACCTTCCTCGCCCACCAATCCTGGAGGTGGAGTGCCTGCCAAGAAGGTCAAGGGTGGGCCCAATGCTTCTGGCTCTTCAGCCACCATCAGCAAGCAGATCTTCCCTTGGATGAAAGAGTCCCGACAGAACTCCAAGCAGAAGAACAGCTGTACCACTGCAGGTAGCTCTTCGAGGGAGCTTACCCCTGGGCTACATCCCCTCCACACTGACCCCAAGAAGCTAGCTCTCCTAGGAACCAAGAGACTCAGGGCTGGAGGTGCAACCTTGGAGGCCATATGTCTAACCTCCTACTGATACAGAAATGTCCCTTCTTTATAGTGTCCCTGATTGGGGGTTATACCCTTACAGTGACAGGGGCTCCCTTCCATTCCAGGCTGTTGGTGGCATGGCTGGGCAAGTCTCATAGTTATAAATAGACACTCTTTATACTGACTTAATATCTGCTTCCCTAGGCTGCTGGTCATAATTCAGCTCCGTTTTTCCATCCAATAGCCCTTCAAAACTTGGTTAAGGATGTTCTGTAGTCCCTATCACATGAATCCCAGTCTCTTAAATTAATAAGAACTAAAGTCTGTGGAGTGCTATGTTTAAGAACATGCTAAGTGCTTTACAAGCATTATCTTATTTAATTTTTCAAAGAACCCTCTGAGGCAGGTATATGATAATATTCCCATTTTATAGGTAAGGAAACTATTAGAGATGATAAGTGACTTGCCCAAGACCATAAAATAACAAAGTGGTGCACTTGAATCTAACCAGGGCCTCCAAGGCATAACCAAGGGATCTATTTGGCCCACCTCTGACCAATTCTCCCCATCCCAGCACATCTATAATATAGGGAGGAGCATATCCTAGGGCAGGGGTGGGGAACCCTTTTTCTGCTAAGCACCATTTGTATATTTATAACATCATTCTCAGGCCATACAAAATTATCAACTTAAAAATTAGCCTGCTATATTTGGTCAAACATTTAATTAACTCACCCCACATGCCTTGGCAGGGCCAGACCAAATGATTTCAATTTCGTGGGCCTTATACAGCTAGGCCCACAGGCCAGACCCCCCACCCCCCACCCCCAAGACGATATGCTCTGAAACAGGAGTAGCCTCCGGTTGGTTGTGTTCCTCTCCCTGGAAAGGGAGACCTTCAAGTAGAGAAGCTCTTCTGCAGGCCCATCAGGGTGTGTGGAAGAAGATGGGCAGGGACAGGAGTGCTGAGGCTTGCTTCCTCTCTCTTCTCAGCTGGTTTGGTTCCTGAAATTGTTTGGCCTTGTGTTCTCTGATGTGGCTTATCTTCAGGGTAGATGAACTTGCTTATCCATTCAGGGCCAGTGTGAAGCCGGGAATGCAGCGAGCTTGTTAGCACACCAGGTCTCTGGTTTGCCTGCTGCTCTCTGGGACTGCTGCTCCTGAGGGAAAAGTATCTTCCAGCCCTAAGCTCCTTCTCCCGCCCCTCCTTCCCAGCTGCCTGAGAAGGCCCTCCCTCCCAGGAGAAATCCATTTGTCTTCCCAGTGAGGGAGTGGACAAGCTGCTGAGAGGTGGCAAGGGTGGTGGAAAACAGTGTTGAGGCTGCTGGTCCTAGCACTGCAATACTAAAAATGCTCCCAGCCTGGTGTTGGGTCCCCTAAAACCTGGGGCAGTATTTTTATGGTTTATCACCTCCCTGCATTTGGGTGCGGCTGGGCTGGAGTGGGGTGCTAAGATCTCCACCCTCAGTTGATGCTTCCTGGGTGCTTTGCCCAAGAGCCAGTCCCTGAGCAAGGCAGGCTGGGGCTGTTCCCTCCCCCACACCCCTTAGCAGAGGGTAGTGTTCAAAGAAGTCTGGCCCCTCTTTGGCAGAGGGGAGGCCTTACCAGCTGCTACTAGTCTCCCATTAAACTCCTCCAAGGCCTTTGGGACCGGATGATGGACTAGGCTGGCGGGGAGGGGCTGGGCAGAGGGAATCAAACCTCAGACGGCAGATGGGTGTTTCAGGTGCGACTGATTGGTAGGCCAGGGGCAGGGAGTTCCTCCTTAGAGTCTCACCTCTCAAACGCCCCTCCCCAATCCAGCCAGGATTAAAGTGGGGGGAAGAGGAGGGAACCAGGGAAGCACTTCTTTGCAGCCCTGGGTGCCCCCACCTCTCCCTCTCAGCGTCCCCCCTCTCTCCTTCCCTGCCCAGGAGAGAGCTGCGAGGACAAGAGCCCGCCGGGCCCAGCGTCCAAGCGGGTGCGCACCGCGTACACGAGTGCACAGCTGGTGGAGTTGGAGAAGGAATTCCACTTCAACCGCTACTTGTGCCGGCCACGCCGCGTGGAGATGGCCAACCTGCTGAACCTCACCGAGCGCCAAATCAAGATCTGGTTCCAGAACCGGCGCATGAAGTACAAGAAGGACCAGAAGGCCAAGGGCATCCTGCACTCGCCAGCGGGCCAGTCCCCGGAGCGCAGCCCGCCGCTCGGGGGCTCGGCGGGCCACGTGGCCTACTCGGGCCAGCTGCCGCCGGTGCCCGGCCTGGCCTACGACGCGCCCTCGCCTCCCGCTTTCGCGAAATCTCAGCCCAACATGTACGGCCTGGCCGCCTACACGGCGCCGCTCAGCAGCTGCCTCCCGCAGCAGAAGCGGTACCCGGCGCCGGAGTTCGAGCCCCACCCCATGGCCAGCAACGGCGGCGGCTTCGCCAGCGCCAACCTGCAGGGAAGCCCCGTGTACGTGGGCGGTAACTTCGTCGACTCCATGGCACCCGCGTCCGGGCCGGTCTTCAACCTGGGCCACCTCTCGCATCCGTCTTCGGCCAGCGTGGACTACAGTTGCGCCGCGCAGATTCCCGGCAACCACCACCACGGACCGTGCGACCCTCATCCCACCTACACAGATCTCTCGGCCCACCACTCCTCTCAGGGACGCCTGCCCGAGGCCCCCAAACTGACGCATCTGTAGCGGCCGCCCACGGCCCGAACTCCTGGCGCAATTACCTCTTTGGCTTTGGTGGCGGGGGTGGCGGGCGGGGCCCGCGGGGCAGCTGGTGACCCTCCCTCGCCCTGTCCTGGTCGCCGCCTCCCCGGTTTCGGGCCAACAGCGGCCCGAAGTGCAGGCGACCGGGCCTCCCCTCCAGGCGCGTCCTCCTTTGGGTGATTCGCCATAAATCAACCGCGAGGATTCTCCTCTAAGCCTGACAGTGCCAAATACTGCGGACCCAGGGGCTCTAGTCTGGTAATGATGTCCCGAAGGTAAGTCTGAGATTCGCCGGCAGCGCGCTCGGCAGAAGGACCAGAGCCTGGAGAGCTCTGGGCCTGGCCCGTGGCTAGCCGAGTTGCGGAGACCTTAATTTATATGCTCCTTCCCGTCCTGTAAGGATTGAATCGGACTCAACAATCTGTATTTATTATTTGAAGCGAGTCATTTCGTTTCTCTGATTATTTATCCTCGTCTTAATGTATTTATGTGTATACTTGTAGAATTCTCCAGCCAGCTTAGGAACGCGCTCCCAGGCCGGGGGCCACATTTCATCTCTTTAGTCCCTTTGGTCTGAACTAGCTGAGAGAGTAGTTTTGAACAGTTGTAACCGTGGCTGGTGTTTGTAGTTGATGTAAAGGATTAAGACCGCAAATTGTCCTTCATGGGTAGAGTCAGACGACACCCGCTACTCATTTCTCAAACAGCCACAGTCCTCCAACTCGACACAGTTTATTGATTTCAAATTGTCTGGTACTATTTGAACAAATATTTAGAATAAAGAATTTCTCAGTTGGAAGAGTATCTGTGTTAATCACACACCCTTGCAAGTAGATCGCTGCCTTTATTTTCCCCCACAATCTCAATGGAAGACCCCCCAATAGGCGGAACCTTCGAAATACGTTTTTTCATGTATTTGGGATCGAGTGCACACATTGGTTCTGGGATGCTTGATTACAACCCAGGTACTGACATGAGGGGGAAGAATCTGAGGATGCAAACCTAGAAATGTTGCAGGCGGGTGATTTGCGTAGAGCTTTGTACCGTGCCTGCTTTGCGATTTCTACCCATCTTTCTAGACACAAATCCACTTTTCTTAGATTGCATTTACATTGGGGAGGCCAGACCTCACTTTTCTGTGTTAAGTAATAAAAAAGAACTTTGAAAGAAAACTGACAATCAAAAGAAAAGATACATGAGAAGTCCTAAGAAGAACTGAGCTGCGAAAAGGCTAAGGTGCGGAAAGAGAAATGATCGTTTGGAGACCAAGGCACCTAAGCCTTGTCTCTAGGAAGTGCTGTCAGGACTTTTTCCTTTATAGTGGTTGGCGGTTCATTTCTAAAGGAAACACGCATTCCCCATGATGTAAAGTAATAAAAGTTTCATTAACGGAACATAAGTATAAACACCTTGTTTTCTCCTGTTCCTTTGTACGAAATGGGCAAAAAATGTCTCCGAGGATTTATCACCATTTTGTAAATAATAGCGTGGCTTTAGCTAGGGGTGGACAACTTCCACCCACTTCTCTGGGAGGAGGCACTTGGAAAACGCCTTCGGATAAGGTTCAATTCTTTGTATTTCAGCAAAGTCGGCCCACACATCTCTATTTGGTTTGACAAATAATGCAACTCCTACTACATCCCTGGTGACACGAGGTGAAATTCCTATTGTGTGGAAATAATTTAACTTCTAATCTTCTGGTGGAACAACAACCGTTTCCATTTGGATGTTTGTGTTTCGCTAAATAATGATGGCTTAAAAAAACATTTAGTTTCCTTGTTCTTTTGTGCCGTTTAAAAAAAAATGGCAGGTTAGATTGGGGGCGGGAGGGGATTATCCTTTTGCTAAATTTCACCTTTTCTGAGCAGGTTTAAAATATACATGTTGTAGACGTTATCAGCAAGAATAAGTGACTTCAACCGCAGGGATAGTTTACCCACTTTCAAGGCTTAAAATTGTTTTCTATGAAATTTGCGTCCATAGGCAGGATTTCTAATTGTCTTGTAAGAAATTATTTTTTAAATTATTAGGGAAATCAAAGAAGAGCTTACTGCTTTGCAGGGATAACAATCGTTCTTAACTGGCTAAATAGTAAATAGATGAACTGTCAAGCTGTTTAGATTCCGCCCGGTTTCCCTCCTCTCTTCTTCCTACCGTAAGTAATAAAAATACAGAATGCATCATGGCTCCAGGCGTTTCCCAGCGCGGTCTGTTACCGCAGGAGTATCTGCTGAGTCTGCGGGTGTCTGCAAGGCCCCAAGTGTCATCTGCGGCTTAGGGTTTCATGGATTAGACTCTAAACGGTGTCTAGCCGGGCTGACATCAGCTTCCTCTCACACTAAGACTCCGAAGAAGTGCGGGGTGAGGGGCTCCCTCCCGGAGGCACCTTCTCCTGTGGGGTGGGGGAGTTCTCTTGGGACAAATCTGCGGCTCCCTCTCATTCTTGGAGAAAGCTTCCCCGAAGCTTCCGAGAATGACCCGGACGGGCCACACTAAGTCGCGTGGGTGGGGAGTCTGGGGAGGGCGCTTTCCGCGCGGCCACAGGCCAGGGCGAGAGTGGGCCCTGCGACACAGCCATTTAAAACTTCATAAATTATAAACAAGCTGCCTTGGCCTTCGCCATAAATTCTGCTCCCTTTGAGCCTGCAATTAGTGTTAGGAAGCACCAGAGTCTAAACACAACCAAACGCCCTCTGAAGGGCCCAACCGCCCGAGGTTGCAAAGTTTTATTTATTTCCCCTCCGTCCCCGAGGTTTGCACACACCGTCGCCTCCTCCCCCGCCACCGCCACCGCCACCGCCGGCGGTGCACACTCGGCTGGGTTCCCACTCTCCGAGGGAAGGTCACAATAGCTGCTCTATGGGGAACGGTGCCCCCGCCCCCCGCCAGCAGCAGAGAAAGGAGAGGGGGGGAGGGGAGCGGCGGCTGCGGCTCCCGGGGTTCAGGCTGCGGCTCCCGGGGAGGGCCTGCCGCGGGAAGGGGCGAGCGGGCAGGAAAGCAAACCGCCGCCCTGCCCCGTGGCGGGCGCGCAGGGGACAATAGGGGCCGCACCAAGGCCTCGAGGCTGCTGGCCCTCGCCGCCGGGCGCGGGCTGAGGACGCCCAGGGCCGCCGGCCTTCCGGAGCGGCTGCACCATTGTGTGCGCCGCTTCCCCACGGGCTCCGCGGAGGCGGGGAAGGCCACACAAAGGCAGCGCCGGGCCGACCACTGGAGGTGGGGAAGGGCCTCGCCTAGCTCGGGCCTGGGTCTCTAGGAGGGTCACTTCGTTTGCCCAGTGGAGGGGAGGAAATGCCTCTGCGACTCAGGCCTAGACCAGCTCGGCTTTTTTCCTGCAGAGGCCGCTTTGGGGGAGGGGATCCTGGAGGCTGTGGGGGACTCTTCCCGAGGCCCGAAGAAAAGGGTGCGGGCCTCAGGCCCCCGCCCACGGATGGGAGTGGCAGTGGTTCCTTTCAATCAAGCGTGAAATAAAGCAAGGTAGAGGTGAGGCAGCAGGGACGGCCCACTGCCAAATGGGAGGAAAAGAGCTCCGGGCAGAGCTTGCCCTGGCTCCCGGGAGAGACGCAGGCCCCAGCCCGGAGTGATGGGAGGAGATCCAATTGAGCTGGCCAGAGGGGTGCGGGAGTTGCAAGAGGAAAGGCCTGAAGGGTAGTCCTGGCCCCTGGAAAGGCAGTAAGGAAGGGTGATTAAGTACATACTCCACCTTCTGGCTTTCAGACCTCAACTTCATCCAGGGACCTGACAGAGAAAAATCCGCCTCTGATGGAATCATTGCTAACCACCCGTTTGTGCCATTTCTTTGTACAGGCTTTCAAATGAGAGGGGGAGAACGCAGAGGACTTTCCCCTTGGTACAGCCCCAAGCCCAGTCCCTATCAGAGACACATTAGCCACATTGGTTTCCCAGGCCCCAGAGGATGCTAACCTTGCTGGAGAGAGTTTTAAAATATAGTGATTACCTATACCAGCTACTCCCTTCTCCCTGTACCAGCTGACTGACCCTTGAGTGAAGTGCATCTTCCCAGCCAGCAGGCTGGGGAGCCTAGGCTCTCCATCTGTTGAGGTTTTTCATTAGGGAGGGTGAACTGGCTGTGTGTGTGGGTGTGTGTTTGAATAACAAAGAAGGAACCCAACTTCTACTTGACCTGGGGAAGCCAGAAGCTTGTTGACACCTTCAGTATTCAAAGGGCAGTCACAGGCCTGTTTTGACTTATCCTGATAATTAGTTGAAACTTCCTCCTGAAGTTAAGACTTGGTTTGTAGTCCCAGTTACAAATCTAGAGAGGTCCTCTTCATCTGGGAGTTCTTGGCATTCCTTTGGTCCTTCTTTCAGAAACTGTAAGAAAAGAATAGGATGAACAGAAGTTTGTGAATATTAAATAAAAATGAAGAGGGGCAGAAAGCTCTAGTTCCCACAGGTCTGTAGCCTGCTCACTTCATGGCACTAACACTTCCCAGAGATCTATCCCTAGACACCTTGGGCCCAGGAAGCCAAGACTGAGTCACCAGCCACACCCTCACCATCTCTGAGGACTGGCTCATTTAGATCCCTCTTGCAGAAGGCCTGGATGAGAAAAAAAAAGATTGGGTAGATGAGTCCTCTGTACGTACTGCACTGGTGGTGCTAGTTGGTGGTGGAGAGGCTCATCACAGAGAATGAAACCTTAGTTCTCATTGTTCCCTTGTCTTCCACTCCAGCTACAAATGTCCTTATCTTTGGGACCCAAGTTGGTGCCAAGTGGATTTATATACTTGGCTTAAAGTCTACACCTAAACACTTCGTCAGGTCTCATACTCACACTGGCAAATTGGAAAGGTCAGAGGCAATCAAGAGGTCTACTTTCAGGCCAGGTCCAGCCTGATGCACAGTGCACAAAAGGTTTCCACACTTGAAAAAAGAGTCAAGGTAAATGGATGTCCAATTGTTTGCAGTAGCAGAAGCAGGTGAAGGGTCCCCAGGAGATCTGCAAGACGGGAGATGTTGGTTAAGTCCTCTTGTCCTAGATCTTGTGGCAAAACATCTTGGCTGGTTCCTATAGCTAGTCTGGATCATTTTCATGGAAGAATAGTATCTGGAAAATTATGGAAACAGGGTGTCAACATTAGTAAGAGCCCAAGGAGAAGATCTTAATTTAAATCAGGATTCATGGAGAACCCTGGTACAAATGAAGTGTTTTTTGCTGGGGAAGCAGGCGTCAAACCAGGCCTCAAACCAGGCCTCGAGGGAGAACCTGGTGGACCAGGGCCTTTTTGAAGGAGGGAAGAGTGGTCCCTGACTTATAAGGAGAAGGCCTTTTTATGGATCTATTGTTCAAAGCATTGCCCTACAAATACCATATTCCTCCCCAATCCTCCACAAGGCCGCATGGCCAAGTGGGGAAGCTGGGTCGGAGGAGCTGAGCTCCAGGCAGCGGCAGAGTTGGCACCCTCCTCCCCCTCCCCCAGTCTGTTGCCCCTTGGAGCAACAACGACGCCTTCCCCAGGCAGGCAGAGGACATACAAAGGAAGCCCCCCCGCCCGTCCTGGGAACCGGAGACACTCTGGGGAGGAGGCTGGCGTGGACCCCGAGTCTGAGCACCTCCCTCCCCCGCGGGTAACAATAGCCCCCGCCTCCCCTGGGCGGTCAGGCGGTCAGTCATTCGGCAGCACAAAGACCAGTTTGGGCTGCGCCTCCAAGTGACGCTGGTGACGCTGGATGCGCGCTTCTTCCAGCTTTCCACCCGGCGCGGCAGGGTGCTGCGGCTGGGGGGAGGATGGGTGTTCCTGAATCCACCTGGAACACTTGGGAAGACAAACGGTGAGTTAATCACCCAACCGGCTGGTGGCCGAGCCCCCTCTTGTGAGCGAGCGAGGAGGTCTGGGGCGGGGGCTGGGGTGAACGATTTCTCAGTGTGTGTCTAGTGTGGGGTGGGGGGAGCAGGAGAGGTTAGTCCTATTAAGAGTTCATCAATCACCCGGTGTGCACTTTTTTCGCCAGACGGCCGTTCCTCCTCCTTCAGAACAAGTCTGGGCCAGCTGGGAACTGACCAGAAACCGCAAGCGGAGGAGACGCAGGCAGGCACGGGGATTGAGCCCCAAAGGAGGGCTAGACCCGCCACCCGTGCACCAGAGCAGCGCAGTCTGACCAGCACTCTGCTGGGTCAGGGTGGAGGGAAGCACTGGCCAGTTACCTCCTCCCACAGGCCCAGCACTGCTTCCCACCAGCTCTGCCCTCGGACCACTCAGGGTGCCCAGCGCCTGCCCAACATGCCTGCCCCTATACCTGCCCCTCAGTGATTCTGCATCCCCTTCTCCCCCCAGACCTCCTGCTTGTTCATGTGACACTCTTGAACACTGCTCTACCCCCAGAAAGGGCCAAACCCATCTCAGATAACAGGACCAAAAAAAAAAAAAAAAAAAAAAAAATCCCAATGGGTCAGAAGGTTCTTGTAGAGACACTTTCATTTTAAGAGTTTTAAGAAAGATGTCCCCAGGGACTAGAATTCAAGGGAGAGCCTGAACTAGTTTAGTTATATTTACCTGCAGGAGTATTTATGTGGGAGGAAGCAGGAGAAGACTCCTGTTGAACTTGGAGCTAAACTTTAACATCATTTAAAATAACAATAAATGCCCTAGCTGGTTTGGCTCACTGGATAGAGCATTGGCCTGGGGACTAAAGGGTCCCAGGTTCGATTCCGGTCAAGGGCATGTACCTTGGTTGCAGGCACATCCCCAGTAGGGGGTGTGCAGGAGGCAGCTGATCAATGTTTCTCTGTTTCTAACTCTCTATCTCTCTCCCTTCCTCTCTGTAAAACATCAATAAAATATATTAAAAAAAATAAAATAACAATAAAAATATACTTAAAACACCAAACACAATGATATACCTCTCCTGTTTTTTTTGTTTTGTTTTGTTTGGTGTGTGTGTGTGTGTGTGTGTGTGTGTGTGTGTGTGTGTTTATGTGAGGGCATGATTTGAGTATTTAAAAATACTTTTAAGTGAGGTATTATATATTAGTATTAGTTTCAGGAGTACAACCTAATGATTTGATATTTGTATGCACCACAAAATGATCACCAAATAAGTTTAGCTAACATGTCATCATATATAGTTACAAATTTTTCTTGTGATGATAACTTTTAAGATTTATTCTCTTAGCAACTTTCAAATATGCAGTATAGTATTGTTAACTATGGTTACCATGCTGCATGAGTATTTTTATTTTAGCTCTTTTAGGTTCATTTTAGAAACACCATAAAGGGACAGACTCCAAGGTTAGGGGCAGTCATTGACATTAGAGCTCTTCCCAGCAGGAGGATTAGGTGAGTGGGTGGTAAAGCATTCTTCTATCCAGTCTTGAGTGGTACATAATGTGCAGTTTGTAAATTCTAAGAAAGTTCCAGGCTACCGCCTCTTTTACCTTTTTTCTGAGTGACATCAGGTAAGAATTTTCTGATGTTAAATGTGTTGCCTTAGCCTATAGCAAGGAGCCTCTGAAGGACATAAAGTCCCAGCTTTCTTCCCTCTTCCCCCTCCCCTCAGTCCTCTTCTCTCTCATCATCCTCTTGGGTGGAAATTAACTTGCTTTAGAGAAATGTTGTACTGTCATTTTGCTTCAGATATATATATATATATATATATATATATATATATATATATATATATATATATATTTAAGCCTTGCAGTTTCCTGAACTCATTGAGCAATTAAAGTACTTGGTCCTGATGTCTCCTGTTCAGAACCTGCCCATCTCCTTGCCTTTCCACCAATACTGACTGAACAGTTCCTGTATGCACTGTCCTGGGCTCTGAGACACAAAAATGAGCCATTAATGCTGAGTACCCTTCTATCTACTGGGGGAGAAAAAGAACCCAATCCTAAAACAGTGACAAATGCTGTCATAGAGGTGTAGCCAAAATGTTCCTGGAATACAGAGAAGGCACCACTAACAGTACTGTAGTGTCAAAAAAACAAAAACAAAATAAAAACCAAAACAACAACAACAACAACAACAAAGCTTCTCAGAGGAAGTGAATTTAGGTCCCTGAAGTATAGGAGTTTTCTGGACCCAGGAAGGAGGGACATACCAGGTGGAGAGAGCAGCACATACAAAAGCAGGGAGGGGAGAAAGTGCAAAGTCTGGACCTGGAATGAGGAGAGTGGTTTGGAGTGGGCCACCTGGCTGGAAAGAGGTTGTAGAAGGTCCCATGAGAATGAGTCTAGACTCTAGACTTAATCTATAGGCAATGGGGAGCCACTGAAGGTTATAAACTGGGATGTAAGGTTATCTGTTTGGAAAGCTAACTCTTAAAAAAATTATATATGTTTACATTTCAGAGAGGAAGGGAGAGGGAGAGAGAAATAGAGAAATAGAAACATCAATGATTAGAGAGAATCAATTGGCTGCCTCTTGCAGGCCCTCTACTTGGGATAGAGCCCCCACGCTGGGTATGTGCCCTGACCAGGAATGGAATCCTGACCTCCTGGTTCATAGGTTGACGCTCAACCACTGAGCCATGTTGGCCAGGTGGAAAGCTAACTCTTGGGGGTACTGTGTCTGATTAGAGAAAGGAGGCAAGAAGAAAAAAGGAGGCTGCTGGAATATCCAGCCTTAAGAGGAACTAATGCAATAGGATGAAGAGGAGAGACATTTAGGAGGAAGAATTCACAGGACACAGTGATCAACTGGATGAAAGAGTAGTGGGGTGTTAATCCTTAGGTTTCTTCTATTTTGAAGTCTGTGTGGGTAGTCAGGTCATTTCACCAACATGAATAGAGGAGGGAGAAGAGAAGACTTTGCAGGGGAAACTAATTAGTTCAAGTTTAGGTTTACATTGTGTTTTCTGCGTTGTTAACTGATACATTGCATGACCCTAAGCAATTCACTTAATCTTTCTGGCCTTCAGTTTCATCATCAATGAAACAGTCCATAAAGGTATATACCTCATAAGTTTATCCGTAGATAAAATTAAAGCAGTGTGCGTATGTGTTTCATTATCTTCATCAGGTCCAAGTGAATGTCCTATTATATAAAGCTAAAACCTAGGGAAAACATTTTCTTACCCATCCATGCTAATCAATATTTAGGTCCTGGGTGGCCAGTGAGAACTCTCAGGAAAATTAAAAACAATAGCCTACTGCTTCCCAGATATTGAATTCAAGCTAATGTTTAAGACTAGGTCAGATTAGATTGCTAATCAGAGCCCCTCTACTTCTGGATGGTACTCTCCAGGGGAGACATGCAGAAATATGGTCTTGGTATTAGACCACTAAAGAGGAGTCCTCGTAGCAGATGTTGGAAAGTTTCTACACTTTTTTTTATATCATGTATCTTTCAGCACATGCTTGAAGCCACCTGCTACTTTTGAACCTCAAGCTTCCTATGGCACAGTGTAGTATATGAAAGAGAGCTGAACATCTGATCTTGGCCATTTACATTGGGTGTGACTACAGCAATCTTTTCTATGTCAGTAATACCATTTATAAAATAGAATAATGAAAAGATCAAATAAGACAAGTAGAATGATATTCCTGGGAATGCTATAAGGGTAAGTAAAGTATTATTTTTCACTTATCAGATTGGCAAAATTAAAAGACTAATTCCCTGTGACTTGGCAAAAGTGTGAGGAAACAGAAATTCTCATTTGTTTATGGTAGAAGTATAAACTGATTCACCTTTATGGAGAGAGGCTTGGCAATACGTATCAAAATTGTCAGCATACATACTTTTGACTAATTTCACATCCAGGAATTTTTATAATAGGTAAAAACTTGAACATGTATTTGTAATAGCAAAAGATTGCAAATTAACTAAATGCTCATTAATAAGGGACTGACTAAATTATGATAGGTAGAACAGCATGAAGTTGTAAAAATAAGCCAGGAAGTTCTGAATGCATTTATATGAAATGATCTCCAAGATATAACAGGGGGGAAAGCATGGTTCAAAAGAGTCTAATATGCTACTGTTTGTGTAAAAAATGTGGAAGTGTGCCGAGACCGGTTTGGCTCAGTGGATAGAGCGTTGGCCTGCGGACTGAAGGGTCCCAGGTTCGATTCCGGTCAAGGGCATGTGCCTGGGTTGTAGGCAC